TGTGTAAGGGAATCTTGTAGGTAAGTAGTATTCCGTAGTATTGGAAAGACAAGATTCCACCGGTAAATAAATATTTATAAATCTATCTAAATCCATTTTTGCAGATTGTAGTGGAATGATGAAACAGAACGAAATAAAAGCACCAAATATTTAAGCATGAATTAAAGTATTAAGATTCATTTGAAAATTTTTTTTAATAATGAACCACGTAAGTTCTATTACTGGCAATCGTCAGTAAGTTGTCAACAATTCAAGATAAAGCGAATTAAATACAAAAAATTACCTAATTTTATGTGGTTGAAATAGTTTATTCTTATGACAGTGAAAACTGATCTTTAACGCTAACTACATATTTCAGTCGGCGGAGATGATAAGGATATAGTACCTTTTTATATATCGTTTCATAGCTCAGATATTTGCTGATCAAATAAGAAAGTACAGTTCTTTTCGACAACAAGGTGTATAAATAGAATATATTCAAAAACAGTAAAATACTATAAACTTTTTATACCACATAGTTTCATCTCCAAACTATAATTTGTACACATTCATCATGACATTCCACTAAGTAAGTTTACCACTTATACAAAAACCTTGACATATCTATGATTTGAAATGTTTAGCTGTATTATATCTGAAAGGCTTATGATGGTAGAGATGGTAGGTTCAAATTTTCTAATTTGGGTTCTCAATGGATCAGTTAAGAATATTTAACTGAGCTGTTTTCAATGCATTTAACTCTTAAATATTTTTGTAATTTTGCATAATTAACGTTTTGATGTTATAGACATTAAAATTAGAGTTCAAGATAAGATCAGATTATCGGATTACTGTGTTAGCGTTGGTTCATTGAAAAGGTTAAGCTGTGTTTTATGATCGTGATTTTTTTAAGAGGCTGAACAAAACAACAACAACACTAGCAAAGGCCCTTGAGATTTCATACAATAATGAGTCAAATGTTTGAATATCTCTGGTTTAAAGGGATCGCAATAGGAAGAATGCATTAACTATTTGTATTATTGTATATAATGTAGTTTTGACAGTTACTTTCATCAGGTATAACACTAAACAACTTTATATATTTATCGTGCCGATTATATTAGTTTGATTACTGTTGTACTTGAGATGTACGCTACAGCTTCACTTAGTCTACTCGATAATGCAATCTACACGAGAAATTAGAATAGTAATTTCTTTAATCATATCGAACTGTGCATATAGATGTTTATTACATAAGATAATGTTCTAGATTTTAAAAGGCTTAGTTACAAAATATCAGCCTATGCTCCATTGGGAGTAACAGGAGTAAGTAAGTAAGTTACAAAATGTTACAACATAATCATATATCCTTTTTTGGACTATCTGAGTTACAGAAATTAGTTCTATTACTTGATATTAGAAATAGTGTTTTATTTACCGACATAAATTAAACAAAATCTACGTTTAAATCCAAAAGTAGTCATAATATTATACATTAACGATGATTTTAAATAACTCGACTTGTTAAATATCAAGGATATTTGTGTGATTATTGCAATTTAGTATATTTTTGTTATCGATGTAAGCATTCAAGAGGCACTTAGTAACAGACATTCCTGACGTGTAGTGAAAATAAGTGAATACAGGCATTTTAGCAAATGCTTGAAACATTTTTATGCTCTAAAGCCTTCATAAATATTCACTTATTTTTAGACATATTTGATTACTTCTCTTCAGTTATTCAGGCAAGTAAGTTAGAGATTTTACAATGATTTCCCTTCACATACATATTTACGCTTTATGTACAGTAAGTTGAATAAAGATTTTATTCTCTGGTATTTGAATCAGTTTCGTCAGTGAACAACTATTTTCAGTATAAATACATTTTTGTATGATATTGAATTCATAAGCAAGTTACACTTTCCATGAGAATATTTTGACAATACAAACATAATTTTACAATATTTTCAAAGGTTATGTAGTTGTCGTTCACCAAATGTCTACAAGATGTCTACGTAAATATTTCACATTCTATCAATGTGAACAATTCATCGTAGGGGTTGAATCATCTTATAGTGACCTACTTTTATAGGTCATTGTTATTTCTGTTAGTTGACAGTTTTACACATACGGGTGTTTATTATCTCTTAACGGTCAAAGGTCAAACCTGGCATAGATAAGTTAAAAGCGTTTTACTATCACACATAAGGGCATGTTGTATGAAATCAGGATTGAAGAACAAAAGTCTATTCTGAGAATCACTGTGTTGTACTAGAGATTATATAAAACTAAATCATATTTGTTGGTTAAGAATACTTTTGTTTTACAGTGTTTGGTTGTTAAGACATTTACAAGCACTGAGTCATACTTTGATTTGCAACCAGCTTTCACTATTTAGCAAATCATGTAAGATATACCCCAAAGAACCTTTAGATAAACGTAGATCGAATGTAAAGCAGGTCCAGATAATAATTTTCATAATAAAATGATGATGATTGATGTACCACTAGGAATCAAAGACCAGTAAAAAAGCTGTCATGTCCCACAATCGATCCGCATGTAAGGCGTAATTCATCGAACATATGAGTAGTTAACTCATTATGAAATAGTTGACTGACAGTTGATTCATAGATAAGTAACCTGAACTATAAACCCTCATCCTAAGTAGTGGAGTCAAAGATATAAGAAACAGGGGTCAGTATCCGATGGTCGATTGTCATTCTGTAATGATGACTGACTAAATTTGGCAAATGTTGATCATTCAACCTAAACATCTCGAGTAAAATCTGAAGCCTATTCGTTCAATCGTTAAGTCTGGAAATGTTTAAAAGGTACAATATATCCTATTTCAAGTCCAACGATACAAAGTGACAAAGAATGCTATCCACAAATGATATCATTAGGAACGAAATCACAAAGTACATTATTCATTATCAATAGTGAGATGAAACAAGCTCTTTAAAAATTGTATGGAGATAGTATAGTACAGGAACGAGCTTAAGATAACCATTACGAATTTGCAGGCTATCTAAAAGTAAGCTTCGTAAGTGAACAGTTTATACAAAAGAAAACTGTAATACTACTATGTGTAAACAGATTTTACGCATTTAATAAATCTATTAAGGTCTTCAACAGGATAATGTGGGGGGGGGGTAAAATGAAGAAAAACTGACGTAAAACCTCTTCCTTATGGAAACAGATTATTCATTTCCTCTAAGCCTTATAAGGATATAAATAGATTTTTTAGAGTCCTCATATTGTTCCTGATTAGGGTTATGTTTTTTTAAAGACCTTGAGTCAAGGTTTTTTTCACAATCTGATATCATCTATAATACAAAAAAACTTTATCCAAATATATGAATGAATTTCATGCAAAAGCGCTACATTTGTTCTCTGATCAATTCGTCCATTAAATATAATGATACCAGGTTGGCGATTGTTTAATGATCAACAGTTTAGGGTTAGAAATTTTGAATACGGTTGATTTTCCTATTATATATAATCTGCAGAGACACTTGCTATGTTCAGCACAATATTTTTGATTCTATGGTGGGAAAAATTAATTTTTCGCAATAATTTTGAACATTTTGAGCAGTATTCCTACTGTTCGTGATACGTGATAATTGAATTGTGTGTAAAAGCTTATAAGGCACATTATCGATTCTGATTGGCTCGTCCTTATCATATACTTTTATCGACTGCATTAGTCAATTTTTAACGAAACACTTTTTGACAACTTTACATTTCTTTCCACACTTTGAATGACAATTAGTCTATTTACTATGAACTTAGCCTGAACGAATTTGTGCCAGTCACATGAAGTCAGTAAGAAAGAAAGAGTAATGATTAAATGGCGTTTGATTATAGTTATTTTTATTAGTTCATTGTTCCATAAAACCGCTCAAATTATCGGATCATATTTCACGGCAAATAAATTTTTAGGGCAATTCCTACATTATTTTAGTAACAAGTATACTGGTAATCAGCTAAACCTTTAGCGCATCTTATCTACCTTCATGAAAATGTAGGCACTAATAAATCGAACCTGTCGGTACCTAAAGTCTTAAGATAAATTAATTTAGAAAGTAACAGTTCTATTATTTTTCTTGTAGGTAACAGAGTAATTCTCGTTAGCAGAAAGAAATATTTCAGGTCACGGAAATATGGCTGTGTCATATGATTAGAAAAGCTGGTAAGTGATTTTTAAAGTACTTTAAATCAATTCAAAATTTCTACACGTAAGGGTACTTTTTTAGTTCAGAAATATGTTGCAATTCTAAAGATGATTTTAAACATTAAAAACATTACTAGTTACAAAAATCCTATCACTTTAACTCCGATCTTCTACTTCACCTGCAATCTGCAGAAGAAATGTATGTTAGGATCTTATTTTTTAACATTCTAATAAAGGTGTTTTTTAAGAAATAAGTAAACTAATCAAGGTAATATAAAAAACAATAACAGTACATTTTGTATCCATACTATACTGATCGATATCCTCTGCTTTTCCTTTATAATTTGCTCATTAAGTGATTATTTTCTACCAGCACGCTCCGATTTGTATCGTAACGTGATTGGATTGGTAAATCTTCAAACATTGGATAATGATTTCATTTTATTTTGAGACTACTCATCAGTGTTTTTCCAAGACTTTGTTATATTGAACCCATCACTTTAAGATTTCGCATTAAGAGCCATATCAGTCAAGTGGCTTAGGAACTAGTAATATTATGTTGCCAGAGTTTTGAAGTAATATAGTTTATCGTTTCATGAATCTAATTACAATACGACTGAATCCAGGTAATGATCAGTTGGTCGTTGTAATATGCATAGATACCTACTGACCAATGAAAGCTAATAAACATAAAGCCTGGAAATAGTAAATTTCCACTAAGTTTTAACAATCTGGCTAATTCTCAAGATAAATAAAATAGACCACACTCAGTAGTCAATAGTGAAATCCCTATCCAAAATATTTTCATACACATTTATTAGTACTTGATAACAAAACATTTTCTTACTGTTTGCTGAGAACGTTTGTGAGCAGTGAGGAGTTTTCGTTAAATTTTTTGTTAATGCTTGACATTCGTTATTGCTTAGATCCATGTTATCAGTGTTAGTATCAGTAAGCGAGATTTTTGACACAAGGGGTTGTTTTACTAACTGACTGATAGGTAGTTGTATTTTGGGTTGATTATTATGACTGTGTGTTTATCACTGACATACAGTTTATTCATATAGTTATGCTGTATACGTGATTGTTAGTTTTTCAAAAAATGTGATTAAAATGCTAGATATGAATCAGTGTTCATTCCAAGATCTGGACAAAATCTTACCATAATGAATGCCAAAATATTTTGGATGATCTTTATATAGACTTTTAACAATATCAAGGGCTTTTCGTATGATTTTATTTACTAAAACGAGGAACAGTCATTTGGTTGAACAATGTAAAGGATGTTAACAAATAACAAATAAAATCTGTTAAAAACTGAATTTAGAACGACAAATGAAACTTTGAAAATTATTGTTTTTATACTTTTCATTATGATCTTAACTACATCTTTCAAAAGATGAATTAATTTGAATGGATGTTTTTATAGGAACAAAAAAGACTTACTAAATATGTGGAATTTCATCTCATGTACAAGATTACTTCGATTTTTTCACCCTAGCGTACTCAATGAAAATACGGCACAAAATAACATCAATATTAATCAACCAAATGACAAACTTTTCATTCAATTTATAAATGGTAACCAACTTTATTTAACTGGTAAAGAGTGTCTATAATTAAGCAATCTATATTTCCTGTATGAAGTATTCATTTCTTCAAATAACTCGAACAATTTTTAGATTTACTCATAAATAAATAAAAGTTTATATTTATGAGTTATTGTTCCATAATACCTTCTTGGTATTATTATTTTCTATGTTGTTTATCAAAAAAGTGTTTATTAAAACAATAACAATCTGAAAATTTGAGTGGTGAATTAATTCAAGTGTCATGTGAAAATCATTTCAACCAAACAAGACGGAATATGAATGCTTCAATGTTAATGTTTAAACGGTTGACCTATTTAGATTCTTGCTTACGTTCTATGATTGAAAATATTTTTCACTTTATCGATCAAAATATTGCACCGGCAATTAAGAGCAGACATCAAAAGAATGGATAGGACTGGGGAAAAACTGGAAAGAAGAGCCAAGGAAGGAGTTGGTTGAAAAATCCTGGTCGGCGGCCTATACTACCCCACGAGTGGAAATATTCACAAATAAGTATTGGTTAACCAAAAAATAATTACATACATATATGTATACATATAGTGATCTAGGTACCTAAACGGTGTTCAGAATAAAGACCTCAAAGTCCCGAAATCCAGGATATACATGGAGCAGTCCACTGGCTTTATGGTGAGGTATTCAAACACACAGTTCATCATGCACTTACGAAAACCATATTTTTCCTCAAATGAGTATGTTTATACGTAGAAACGATTATAAACGATGAATAACTCTTGAACGTTAGAAATGTTTTTCATCACGAGCAGATACCAGCTGAAAAATCATTGAAAATCAATAAGCTCTGAGCAGCTATTTTTCTTTAAACTAAGTTTATTTAGTATTGTGCATTGACAATCTTATTAATAATGAACCCAGTATATTTTGCATTACCGCTAGTAGAATATATTTAGTTCAATAAATCATCCAGTGTTATCGGCAAATTACTGTTTAACATCTCACTCCACTTGGTTACAAAGAAAGTGGAGGTTTTCCGAAATTCCTATTCATCCGTTACTACATTTCTTCAGTTCACTTATAAGAAAAAACACTCAACTCTTTTTGTCACTAGACAAATGGTGATATAAAAATTTATACAATATAAATAATAGATGAAATTGAAGATTAACTAGTAACTTTTGTTTATATTGAGTGCACTGACACAGAAAGATGTATGAAAATACTTTTATGCGAAACGTTTAATAAACACGTTTATTTTTTATAACAAATTAATCTTAATCGTGTGTTAGCTTTTTTGTTTTATCGATACCGTTGTAACGGCAATAAACCTGACATTTATTTATCAGGCATTATCTTATATAAATTTTACCCTCACTATGAAAACTTTGATCAAGGAGAAAAGTTCTGGCAATAAATTATTATAGTTCAATGTGGATATACATTAAATAAAGCGACTGATTATAACATAACACTTCAAGGATAGCCCCATGAGCAATTAAAAGAGAGAGAAGCATTTTAAGGAAGATGTATTGGTAATGACCTTACAAGAATTGACTTACAATCAAGTTAATTCAATTATATATCGATTTTTCAATGATTATCAATTCTAACAACTAGGAGATTGAACAATCGTCACTTGAACACAAAAGCATAGTAGATCAAATAATGGTTAGAATGTAGATACACTGAAGATGCAAATAAAAACATGCTGAAAGTCAATAGAAATAGTTTACCTCAAAACATGAATATGAATATTAAAATTGATTTTTAAAAAATTTTAAGTTTCAGAATGGCCCAAAATTTTAAATATTGTTACCCAACAGCCTACACCTAACCGATGTTGATATTTTCAATTGAAATTAGATCAGTCTTGGTTGGCATATGGATTGGCTTGATGTAACCATTATAACGACATAAGTTGATGCACAGTAGATGAAATGTGGTTAGCATTGAAATCCAGGAACCACATTTAATTCTATTTGGGACTCGTCATCTGGATGTATATGCATTCCAGAGTTTATGTTCACTGTGGGACTAGAACCCAGTAGCGCCTACTTCAAACTCCACTGAGCTGTTGAGTCCAGATAACCACTCACTTGAATTACATCTCATACCCAACGAACAAATGAAAAATTGCAATTAGAAGAATCAATTTTATTGTTTTTCTCTGGAGGTTTTAGGAGGACTCAGTGCTCAACATTTTTGAAGGTTATTTATTTCACTTTGACGAGATTGTAAATACATTTTTACCGGACATAATTTACAACACCAAATAACCTAGTAAAACTTTAGCAAACAATCGAGATAACTGTATTTAATATGGTTTTTTAATCCCCTGTACGAAGTATACATTACCCAAACACTTGTACCGCTACAAGAAAGGTTTCGTGATATGACCCCTGGTGGGTCCACAGATCCTTGTCGATATAGGGTCTCAATATATAACAAAGCATCTTTGAGGCCTTGCCTTATTGTCGGTAAGTTTTTAGCTAATTACGTTCAGTGACAGCTGCTCACTTGGAATAAATTTTGTTTGATAGGATGATTAGTCAATGATTATATTACATACTTGAATAAAAATGGCCTCGGTACTTCTCTGTAATTAGGACTTCAAACAATCAGTATGCCCTTTGTTTCAATATATATTAATTGTTCGCCCGAGAGATAGGAGGTTCTGAGTTCGATTCCCGCTCTCAGAGTTGTTGAGGTGTACTGCTGAGGAGTCCCACAAAGGAAGAAACGGCCGTAAGTGCTTCCAGTTTTTCAGTGGTTGTCTATATTTGATCAACTTTTTTTCCGACTTAAGTTACTTGTCAGTAACCATATACATATATGTTTATATATATTCTCATCTCTTCAGCCAACATCTTTATTGATTATAGTTTAATTTGTACTGCAATAATAATTCAATAAACAAATGTAATTCAAGATTACAGAAAATATGCGTGAAACCAAATGAACAAAAACCATTGTGCGATTTTGTCTTGCATGATTTGTAAATTGCATGTATCCACTGAAATTGAAAATGAAGTATAAGAATAAACAAATATGTAACTATTCCTGAAAATGCATACACAAGTGAAAAAAGAATTCGGTATTCAGTGTAATGATAAAACATCTTAGTAAAAACATGTGGTCGAGAGTTGGAAAAGCTTATGAGTCAGAAAATATATTTTTTAGTAGTTGAGATCATGAGTCAATTGAATCTAGACCACCATGGAAAACCTGGAAGCACTGGGCAGCCTTTTCGTCCTATTGCCTCCAAATGCCCTGGTATGGCCGAGAGTGAGGAGAGTCAGCTCTCCCTCTCGAAATACTCTCACACGGCCACGTGTATACAGCCTCTGCCAGGGAAGTCCTACTCACTGCCTTTTCGTGGCGGGGGTGTTGTTTGCGAAATTGAGAGGACGAAAAGCGAATATCCGGCGCTTTAACCGGACCCAAAACCAATGGTGCACATGGGCTCCAGGATCCTTAAGGAACAAATGGCGTATGAACCAATCATTGGTCACCGGCTACCATGGGATTGCATCTCCTCACGATGCTCCACTGACTTGTGGGTTAGACCTTTAAATCAAAGGCTCGGGGTGTGGCCCCCTAAGATAACCACCTGCTTCGGTTTGGGCACCCGGACAGTATCACAGCCCACACGCAAATGATGAACTCTCTATATCTATGGAAACTACTTTTCACGCTTCGAATAACAATCAAATAATTCAAACTATTATCATTACTATTATTATTATTATTATTATTATTATTATTATTATTATTATTATTATCTACCACATTATTCACCCTCTTTTATACTTATACAGCGGCTCGTCTTTGGTGGAAATTCGACTGTATCTAAACGTTCTCGAGTCACTGTCCGGTTGAAAATTGTATGTTACCACTGAATATGAGTACTGAAGCAGTTTTTCTGAAACCACGTGCATCATTCAAACTGGCTGCCTTCAACGTTCGCACATTTATGCAGGTCGGACAACAGATAGGGCTGGCTATGTCTTTGGAAAGTCTTAATATCGACGTGTGTTGTCTATCCGAGACCCGTATTCAAGACTCTGGCGAAGTACTACAAATTCGATCTCCATCTGTCGCTTCGAAAAGCTTGTTTTACGTGCGCTTACCTGGGGACCCTGTGGCATCTTCGTCTGGTCTTGCTGGCGTTGGTGTCGCACTAAGCGCTAGAGCTGAGGCAGCACTAATCGATTGGATCCCCATTAATAGTCGGTTATGTGCTGCTAGATTAAAGAGTTCCATCAAAGTGAGAAGAAATCGGCGTGAGAAACGATGTCTTTTCGTCATCTTCGCCTATGTTCCGACAGATTGCAGCCCGGATGCAATCAAGGATGAATTCTACC